CGCCCGCGCCTTTGTCTGCGCCGCCTCCGGTCCCATCGCGGCCAGTCCCCGCGCCGCCCCGCCTCTGCCCAGCGCCCCCTGCCGGCTAGCGAGTGAGGGCGGGGAGGAGGGAGGCGACCCGGAGAAGGAAGAAGGGGAGGGCGGACTTGGGGGGAGGGGGAGCTCCAGCGGGAGTCTGCGGAGGGGCTGGGGGAGGGGACGAGAACAGCTGGGGGATAGAGCAGAGGGGAAAGAGGGGGAGTGGGGCGGGGTGAAGGGGCAGAGGAAGGGGAGGGCACCAGGAGGTCAGGAGGAGGGACTCCTGGGGAGGGGGAGAGGGAGGAAAGAAGGAAGAAGTAGGCGGGTGAGATGGTCAGGGGAGGGAGGGCGGGTTGGGAAGGAGCCGGGGAAGGGTGGACAGAAGCGGGGAAGCCCTGTGGGAGGGAGCAGAAGTCATAGGGAGGGCTGGGCCTTTGAACGAGGGGGAGGGACCCGTGGAGTCAGGGGGTTGGAACCGAAGGGATTAGAGGCAGGGGCCCAAGATAAGGCGGAGCTTCTGGGATACCAGGGAAGAGGCAGAAGGTAGCAGGGGTCAAGACCGCAGGGTGGGGAAGGGGTGGAGGCAGGGGCACCGGAGAGTCTGTCCGGAAGGGCCGTGGACCCGAGCCCAGGGGGATGGGCTGAAGGCTGAGAAGACAGGGTGGGCGTTGGTGTAGTGGGCCCGGGGTGGGGACAGAAGCAGACATCCTGGATGAGCCAGAGACACAGAAAATGGGTGGACAGTGACCCCTGCCTTCCTGCCTCGTGCCAAGGGTGGCCCTGAGCCTTCAGGTGACTTCCTGGCTGGCTGGAGACTGGCCACTGCCGCTGTGGGGCTGGGAGGTGAGGCTGAGGAGGAGAGCGTGTGGATGTTCGTGGGCTGCATACAGTAGGGGCTCAATTGCCAGAGTCTGGAAGCAGGGTCTAGGCCTAGCTGGATGTCTCCTTGTGACACTCCAGCACCCGGGGCCTGGGGCAGGACTGCCTTACTGAGACCAGGCTGCGTCACACAGTGAGACCTTGTCCCTCAAAACGGAGAGATAAAAGTGTCCCGGACCCTTAGCAACTGAGGCAGGACAATAACCTGCACCCAGCTCCCCAAGTGCAGGTGGGTGGTGGGGCTGCAACTCAGGGAGCAGATCCCTTGCCAAGCTTGCATGGAGCCGTGGCCTCCATCCCAGCACCACCGGTTGGCCAGAGTGGCGCACACCTTTGATCCCAGCATTTGAGAGGAACAGGCAGGCGGATCTCTGTGAATTCCAGGCTCACCTGGTCTATATAGTGAGTTCTAGGCCACCCAGGGCTGCACAGTGAGACCTTGACTTTCAAAAAAAATGCTGAGAGTAACTGGGTTTGTAATCGTTTTAGGGTCTCAGTATCCAAGTGTTGGGGACGTTAATGTCCTCTTCCCGTGGAATGGGCCAGTCCCCTGCAGTGTCCTGCCACTTGGCCCTGGGAGCCTGGCTGCCCACAGCGGCCAGCCAAGGATCCTTTAGGGAACCCTATCTGCCTGTAGGTCCCCAGCCCTGTGAAGGTCCCCCTTGCAAGTCACCTTCTGCCCTTTTCTAGAAAGTTCTGCAAGGGCTTCAGTGCTCTGGGGACAAGTGGACAGACAGCTTGTGCTTCCCTGGGGCTCTCAGCTTTGAGATTCCTGTCAGGCATTCTTCCTTGTCTCAAGCCCTCTGTGTCTGCTCCCTGCTACGGGCATCTGAGCATGTCTCAGTGGAGACATTCTCTGGCCAGAAGGTGGGTTTCCTTCTCTGTCCTCCCAGGAATGCCCTCTCCAGGGGCCTCTGTCATTCTTTGCCCTCCCCAAAGCGTCAACAGCCCAAACTGGGAGTGTATGGGGCTTCTGGCCTCTCCCTGGCCTGCTGGCCACTGATGCTCTGGATATATTTAGTATATGTGGATATATTTCCATTTATTTCTGAGTCACAGGCAGATGTGGTGACCCCTCCCTGAGCCCCCAGACTCCTTGACACACAACTCTTACTCCCAGCTGGAGGAAACAGGGCCTCCGACTGCTCTCACATCGAGAGGCATATGTATAGGCAAAGGATTTGGCTCCATTCTCAGGCCCGGAGCCACAGAACGTGTGAACACTGGGAACAAAGAAAATACCGTCTGCTGTGTTCAGAGTGACTTTTTCCTTATTACCAACGCCTTTTTTTTTTTTTTTTTTTTTTTTTTTTTTTTAAGGATCTGAGTTTGGGGCAACAGGCTGCATGCAAGTCCCTCCTGGTCTGTCAGGCACTGGCTGGCTGGTTGCAGAACTGCGACACGTGGTTATTCAGCAGAGGGGGTGGGGTACAGTGGCTGAGGGCCCAGGCAGGCTTTGTACTATGTGTGGGTACAAGAAAGAATTTGAGAGTTGAGAGTTCTCCCGAAACCAGGCATGGTAGGCGTCTGTCTTCCCCGGAGGAATGTGGAGATGGGAGGAGATCAAGATCATCCTCAGCTACAATGTGAGTTCAAAGCCAGCCTGGGCTACATAAGATACTTCTCAAAAACAGAGATGGACAATCAGGAAGCAGAGGCAGGTGGATCTCTGTTTGTTCAAGGCCAGCGTGGTCTACACAGCAAGTTCCAGGTCTGCAAAGAGACCCTGTCTCAAAAACAAACAAGGGTTCCTCACCTGAACCTGGTATTGGCCTCTTTGCTGGGGCTAGAACAGGGCTAGCCTGGAGCAAGCCCAGGGGTGTGGCTTCCTCCATGTGGCAGGGTTTTCTTTTTCACCTGGACAATGGACTGAGGCAAGGCGAGGGTATGGAGAACCCAGGCAGCACCCACAGCCTTCTGTCCCCTGAGTGACAGGTGAGTGGCTGCAGGGACCCCTAAGGACTCTCTTTGAAGGATCTCAGATGTCCTCACTTGCCTGAGTGTGGCTCCTGTCCTGTGGCTGAGGAACAGTGAAGGAATGAGCCTCCTGTCCACAGCAGAAACCAAGCAGGCGCCAGGTCAGCTCACTGAGCACTGAGGTAACCTGTGAGCAGTGGCTTCCCGGCACGCTCTCTCAGTTCAGTTATGTCTAACCCAACCACTGGGCAGAGCAAAACTGTCTCTTCTGGGGGTTCAGTCCCTCTCCCCAGCTCCTGTCCAGACTCCAGCACATGTCATGTGTGCCTTGGTCACCGTTCCCTCTTACCAGGCATGTCCCAGCACCTAGAACAACCCAACCAGGGCACAGATCCCTTCCCAGAAAACAGGTCTCCTGACCCCAGACTTGCTCTGTAGACCAGGCTGGCCTCGAACTGGCCACCTGCCTCTGCTCCCTAGTGCTGAGATTAAAGGCACCACTGCCTGGTCTTAATTAATTTTTTAAATAAAAATAATTTCTTAGCTGGGTGGCAGTGGCGTATACCTTTAATCTCAGCACTCGGGAGGCATCTCTGTGAGTTTGAGGCCAGCCTGGACTACATGGTTCCAGAATAGTCAAAACTGCATAGTGAGACTCTGTATCACATTAAAAAAAAAAAAAAAAAAAAAGGGTCCAACGTGGTGCGATCCTCCCAAACTCCCCTCCCCTCAGGCAGCCCCGTACCTCTAGCTGTCCTCAGGGGCCCCTATCCATCCCTCAGCAGCCTACCTCCAACCCCCTCTTTTCCAAGGAGCCCTTTCTCATCTGTCTCAGGTCTGACCCCAGGAGACTGAACGCGTCTGTGTCCAGTTCTTGACTCCCTCGGTCTGAGTGTGCCCAGTAGCACAGGGTGGGGCCGTGGGGCATGGAGAAGGTGGAGCCTGTTGGTGATTTTGCAGACCTGGGTTTCTCTCCCAGGAAAATTTTGGTTGGTGAGAGAATCCTGGAAGCAGTGGAGCTCAGGTCGCTAGCTCGCTCACGAGCTGGCACAAGGGGCTGCCCTGCTGTGCCGCGGAGCCGAGCTGGGGCTGGGGGCTGGATGGCAGTGAGCTCCCACAGATCTAATTACCCTCATTTACCACGTGCGCTAATTGCCTCCTGGGTGCCAGGTGGCCGGGTGGGGCCGGCCCATTTTCAGGAGGTAGGTCGAAGGATTATTTTTGGCTAATACTCCTTGTAGGCTTCAGCATCCAGGCCTGTGAAGGGCAGAAAGTGGGCCGAGGAATCGTGGCCACGTTGGGAGGGACTCTAGGGAGCAGGAATGTGAGGAGGAGCCTGGGAAGGAGGGACCCCAAGGGTCTTTGGCACCTAAGGCAAGGCAACTTCAGAGTTTGGGGGTCAGCCAGCTTCATTGAGCAGTGGACCTGAAAGAGAACGTCAAACGTGGCTTTGTTCACAACCCTCTTCCTAGCACTCAGGAGGCTGAGGCAGGGGGATTTCTGTGAATTCAGGGCCAGCCTGAGCTTCATAGAGATACCCTAAAAATAAATAGCTGGGCAGTGGAGGCACAAGTCTTTAATCCCAGGACTCGGGAGGCAGAGGCAGCAGATCTCTGAGTTCCAGGCCAGCCTGGGCTACAGAGTGAGATCCAGCACAGGCTCCAAAGCTACACAGAGAAACCCTGTCTTGAAACCCACCCCAAAAATAAAAATAATAAAATAATTAAACCAAACCCAAACTCTGACATCACCTTGCAGGGTACTTTGGAAAGGTAGGAGTCTCAGATGGACCTCGCTTCAAACCCTGACTCCCAGGTAGTTCTCTGCACGACCATCCGTGATTTCTAAAACTGTCACTTTGAG